CTGGTTTAATTACATGTAGATGCGTAGGCATGCATTGATTTGCTTGGACTGGACTTACTACGTATACAAGATGTTAGAAGTTTTTTTTTATTATTATAGTCACTTTAACGCTCTTGGGTCATTCGTGACTTGTCCGGAGGTGAGATTTGAAGTCGTGACTTTGGCGTGAGAGGTATGGATGCTAACCACTACGCCGGGGTCGCCCCATAGATGGAGATCAGATTATTTTTCTACTAGATCACCCAAGACTAATTCAATATCTGTAGTATCGAAACATGTCCAAACAGATTCAAAGTGTCTATGTGGCTCATGACAACCTATTTTCGTGTATGCCAAATGTTCTAGGCTTTCCATATCGATATTTCGATACTATAGATATTATCCCAGTCTTTGTTGATCTAGTAAAACAAATCATCTGAACTGCAGTACGATTTGGAGAGCCTAAATCATCTGGTATACGTGGGAATAAATAAGCATTATCCATATAGACACTATGATTCTGTTTGGACATATTTTGATACTACAGACTTTATCCCAGTCGTGACAAACTTGGCACCGTTCGCGTGATTCCGGTGGTAAATGATGTAACGGGACGGAATTGATTTGAATTGAGGAGGGTTAGCCATGATGGTTACCTATTATGTTTGGTGAAATATTTATTGATTTGTTTTCCAAATACTGTACGTAGGAATTTTAAGAAATGCACTATTGTACAGACGCCTTTAATTAAATACAACTTAAATAACCAACAACCAGGGATGTGGAGTCAGAATCGGAAGCATTTTTTGAGCATCAGGTGTCCAAGTTGGAGTCGAAGAAATAGTAACACCTGAGCAATGTTGACTGTCGCACCACTCGTTTAAACAGCATCTTGACTACCGAAGGTACGACGTTCTTTACTTATATAGCGCAACGCAACAGCCAAAGGTGCTACGTAAAGAGGGTTTTTGGGATAAGAGAAAAACATATTCAAAACCAACGACCTTGGCAACCTATGCCTAGGTGGTTTCTAGCAACACTGCCATTTCAATCAAGACATGCGTTGCTCGATTGGTTCTGGCTTTGACAGTTGAGTAAAATCAACCAGTCCGCTTCTCTCTTATCCTAGACACTCTCTAAAGCTACGAAAAGCTCCAATCTTGGTGTAGTTATTTGTTTCAAAGGTGTGACCTTCGACCTTCCATTTCTTCACGTAAGAGCTAGGTTATTTACTCGCAGATTAATGCATTGTCATTGTGCACCAGGTTTATCGTTAAACTTACGTGATTGGGTTGACGTTTTGGCAATAAGCTCAAACGAAAGGTCGTCATCTGAAATTTATTGTTGTTACGTTCTAATTTCTTGGATTTATCTTAAACGTCAAACTGATCAATGGCCCAATCTGAAATTAAAATCCGGGAAATATGATACCACTCTTTTAACTAGCTAGCTACTATAAGTGAATGGTAAATTTTGAGGTAGCTAACTAACAAGCTAAAAGGAGCACATATGTGATAAGCCCTCGTTAAATGTACTGAAAAGTCACCTCTATTACTAATTTCGATCGAAACCGATTTTCAGTTTCAATCAAAATCATCATTAGGGGTGATTTTTCAGTACCTTTAAACTCCAACCACATTCCCTGCCAATCACATATGTGCTCCTGCCCTAGCTCCTATCAATCTAGCTGATTTTTTTTCTACAAAAATTGGTACTATATCTAAAGCCTATCACTACTACTCTGAAATGCAACGATCGAGCTCACGGTAGTGGTCCTTCGAACTCCATAAACAAAAAGATCTTCGATGATAGCATTCTGCCACATCGATTGGTTTGCTCGAAAGCACGGTCCCTAAACGAATTTTTTATTCACCAAAAAGTCCCTATTCGGTGTTAATGGTGTTGCTATGGTAGCGACTATGGAAGGGGATGCGCAGTGGGTGAAAGTCGTGAAAATCGAAATTTTGATCAACGTAGGCGTGCATGTTTTTTTCTTCATTGAAACGTCAATTTTTTAAACGATGCATCATCAACTGAAAAAATTGTAACCGACATTGGTGCAGGATTGTTGGGGTATTAAATGTGTGACAAAGTTAGGTGGTACTTGTGAAGTGTGCTTGCTGGTGAGTACCGATTGGAATCTACACAATAATTAACGGTGAAGCTGGAATTCCTAGTGGCTATAATGTGAAGATGGATTCGTATTCATTCCAAGATCAAGATGGAAGGATGCATAGGTGGCACAGTACTCACGGTCCGCTAGTGTTCGTGAGTTATTTGCCGTCAACGCTGACGGTGCCATCTCTCCTACTTAGAGACACTAGTCTTTTCCTTGTCGTTGGCTTTTGTTTGTGCACCTTTTCAATCCGGACTGAAATTCTGTTACCGGTAACAATAATTATATATCTTTCTCTTTCTCTTTTTCAGCATTCCATCTTCATCAACGACGACCCTACCGGACTGATGAGATGACGATGATGATAAGATGCTGTAAAATTTATCCTCTCTGACGAAGGAATCACAGCCTTTGGACAACATTGATGACCTATGGACTACATCTTCACACGTGCCATAATGCTACACGTGTTAGTACGGTAAGTTGTTTCTGATTTAGGCGCAATTTAAGACAGAAACTAAAACTTTTCTTTTTTTTAAGGAATCACCCAGAATAACGACGTGGAGTCTTTTTTCCCGGACGGATAACGCTGGCTGAAAAAACTCCCAGATTGACGATTGACGCAAATTCCGTTTGAAAACCTTCTGGCCGACCTCATAAGCTGATGCAAACTTCTTGAACTGTAAGTTGTACACTTTTCTATGCTCCTCCAACTTATCTTCTATAGTGGTCCCTCGCTTCGATGGAAAGTTCACCTTCATCCCTCTCCAGACGATGAAGGAATACAACGCCGTGTTGTTCATTTCCTTCACCTAGGGTATCCTAGTGTCCCACACTCGCTGGTTTAATTACATGTAGATGCGTAGGTATGCGTTGATTTGCTTGGACTGGACTTGCTACGTATACAAGATGTTATAAGTTTTTTTATTATTTTTATAGTCACTTCAACGCTCTTGGGTCATTCGTGACTTATCCGGAGGTGAGATTTGAACTCGTGACTTTGGCGTGAGAGGTATGGATGCTAACCACTACGCCGGGGTCGCCCCATAGATGGAGATCAGATTATTTTTCTACTAGATCACCCAAGACTAATTCAATATCTGTAGTATCGAAACATGTCCAAACAGATTCAAAGTGTCTATGTGGCTCATGACAACCTATTTTCGTGTATGCCAAATGTTCTAGGCTTTCCATATCGATATTTCGATACTATAGATATTATCCCAGTCTTTGTTGATCTAGTAAAACAAATCATCTGAACTGCAGTACGATTTGGAGAGCCTAAATCATCTGGTATACGTGGGAATAAATAAGCATTATCCATATAGACACTATGATTCTGTTTGGACATATTTTGATACTACAGACTTTATCCCAGTCGTGACAAACTTGGCACCGTTCGCGTGATTCCGGTGGTAAATGATGTAACGGGACGGAATTGATTTGAATTGAGGAGGGTTAGCCATGATGGTTACCTATTATGTTTGGTGAAATATTTATTGATTTGTTTTCCAAATACTGTACGTAGGAATTTTAAGAAATGCACTATTGTACAGACGCCTTTAATTAAATACAACTTAAATAACCAACAACCAGGGATGTGGAGTCAGAATCGGAAGCATTTTTTGAGCATCAGGTGTCCAAGTTGGAGTCGGATCCGGATTTCTGCAGAATTCAATCAATTCTATAGATCTTCTGAAAAATTCATAGAACCGACATCACTGACTTCCATCTGTTTTGTTTTTATTCAACGCAGCTGACGTGTTGACAGAACGCAAGGGAAAAGTAACTAGTGATAAAATTACATGCACGAGGGATGCTCCAGTTGCAAAAAATTGCTTGGGAATGTGGATGATAGATGGTGCTAGTGCGCAGGCAAAATACGCTTGAAGATATTTTTTGAAGAATTTTCTTCTAAGAGTTATGTCTGTTTGTCTGTGGTATAATTTTGACGAAAATTTTAATCGAATCAATGTATACATTTTGAAAAACCACAAAATGCATAAAATTTAATCTATATTCGTTTTGTAATATTTTTGAGTGTTCACTAACACTAATCAAGCACATGTGTAAAGTGTGTGACATAAAAACGATCAGTTCGGCGAGCAGATACTGATTTTTGAAAAAAATCATCTGGCATCCCTGATTTTATAGTTTATCACACGTTCACATTACTTATCATGGCTGACTCGAAAGATCCAGTTGAAAAAGTTAATAAGTGCGTTAAAAGATACTATTCGATGAGGAAATCATTGAGAAAAGTTAAGGTCCAAAAAGCTGCTGAATCCATAATACCGTTCAAAGATTACTTATCCGGAAAAAAACTTACGGTGCCACGTCAAGCGGAATCGCTTAAAACAGTACATCCATCAGAACAAGTGGGATGCGCAGTGGGTGAAAGTCGTGAAAATCGAAATTTTGATCAACGTAGGCGTGCATGTTTTTTTCTTCATTGAAACGTCAATTTTTTAAACGATGCATCATCAACTGAAAAAATTGTAACGGACAGTGGTGCAGGATTGTTGGGGTATTAAATGTGTGACAAAGTTAGGTGGTACTTGTGAAGTGTGCTTGCTGGTGAGTACCGATTGGAATCTACACAATAATTAACGGTGAAGCTGGAATTCCTAGTGGCTATAATGTGAAGATGGATTCGTATTCATTCCAAGATCAAGATGGAAGGATGCATAGGTGGCACAGTACTCACGGTCCGCTAGTGTTCGTGAGTTATTTGCCGTCAACGCTGACGGTGCCATCTCTCCTACTTAGAGACACTAGTCTTTTCCTTGTCGTTGGCTTTTGTTTGTGCACCTTTTCAATCCGGACTGAAATTCTGTTACCGGTAACAATAATTATATATCTTTCTCTTTCTCTTTTTCAGCATTCCATCTTCATCAACGACGACCCTACCGGACTGATGAGATGACGATGATGATAAGATGCTGTAAAATTTATCCTCTCTGACGAAGGAATCACAGCCTTTGGACAACATTGATGACCTATGGACTACATCTTCACACGTGCCATAATGCTACACGTGTTAGTACGGTAAGTTGTTTCTGATTTAGGCGCAATTTAAGACAGAAACTAAAACTTTTCTTTTTTTAAGGAATCACCCAGAAGAACGACGTGGAGTCTTTTTTCCCGGACGGATAACGCTGGCTGAAAAAACTCCCAGATTGACGATTGACGCAAATTCCGTTTGAAAACCTTCTGGCCGACCTCATAAGCTGATGCAAACTTCTTGAACTGTAAGTTGTACACTTTTCTATGCTCCTCCAACTTATCTTCTATAGTGGTCCCTCGCTTCGATGGAAAGTTCACCTTCATCCCTCTCCAGACGATGAAAGAATACAACGCCGTGTTGTTCATTTCCTTCACCTAGGGTATCCTAGTGTCCCACACTCGCTGGTTTAATTACATGTAGATGCGTAGGTATGCGTTGATTTGCTTGGACTGGACTTACTACGTATACAAGATGTTATAAGTTTTTTTATTATTATTATAGTCACTTCAACGCTCTTGGGTCATTCGTGACTTGTCCGGAGGTGAGATTTGAACTCGTGACTTTGGCGTGAGAGGTATGGATGCTAACCACTACGCCGGGGTCGCCCCATAGATGGAGATCAGATTATTTTTCTACTAGATCACCCAAGACTAATTCAATATCTGTAGTATCGAAACATGTCCAAACAGATTCAAAGTGTCTATGTGGCTCATGACAACCTATTTTCGTGTATGCCAAATGTTCTAGGCTTTCCATATCGATATTTCGATACTATAGATATTATCCCAGTCTTTGTTGATCTAGTAAAACAAATCATCTGAACTGCAGTACGATTTGGAGAGCCTAAATCATCTGGTATACGTGGGAATAAATAAGCATTATCCATATAGACACTATGATTCTGTTTGGACATATTTTGATACTACAGACTTTATCCCAGTCGTGACAAACTTGGCACCGTTCGCGTGATTCCGGTGGTAAATGATGTAACGGGACGGAATTGATTTGAATTGAGGAGGGTTAGCCATGATGGTTACCTATTATGTTTGGTGAAATATTTATTGATTTGTTTTCCAAATACTGTACGTAGGAATTTTAAGAAATGCACTATTGTACAGACGCCTTTAATTAAATACAACTTAAATAACCAACAACCAGGGATGTGGAGTCAGAATCGGAAGCATTTTTTGAGCATCAGGTGTCCAAGTTGGAGTCGAAGAAATAGTAACACCTGAGCAATGTTGACTGTCGCACCACTCGTTTAAACAGCATCTTGACTACCGAAGGTACGACGTTCTTTACTTATATAGCGCAACGCAACAGCCAAAGGTGCTACGTAAAGAGGGTTTTTGGGATAAGAGAAAAACATATTCAAAACCAACGACCTTGGCAACCTATGCCTAGGTGGTTTCTAGCAACACTGCCATTTCAATCAAGACATGCGTTGCTCGATTGGTTCTGGCTTTGACAGTTGAGTAAAATCAACCAGTCCGCTTCTCTCTTATCCTAGACACTCTCTAAAGCTACGAAAAGCTCCAATCTTGGTGTAGTTATTTGTTTCAAAGGTGTGACCTTCGACCTTCCATTTCTTCACGTAAGAGCTAGGTTATTTACTCGCAGATTAATGCATTGTCATTGTGCACCAGGTTTATCGTTAAACTTACGTGATTGGGTTGACGTTTTGGCAATAAGCTCAAACGAAAGGTCGTCATCTGAAATTTATTGTTGTTACGTTCTAATTTCTTGGATTTATCTTATCCGGGAAATATGATACCACTCTTTTAACTAGCTAGCTACTATAAGTGAATGGTAAATTTTGAGGTAGCTAACTAACAAGCTAAAAGGAGCACATATGTGATAAGCCCTCGTTAAATGTACTGAAAAGTCACCTCTATTACTAATTTCGATCGAAACCGATTTTCAGTTTCAATCAAAATCATCATTAGGGGTGATTTTTCAGTACCTTTAACTCCAACCACATTCCCTGCCAATCACATATGTGCTCCTGCCCTAGCTCCTATCAATCTAGCTGATTTTTTTTTTTCTACAAAAATTGGTACTATATCTAAAGCCTATCACTACTACTCTGAAATGCAACGATCGAGCTCACGGTAGTGGTCCTTCGAACTCCATAAACAAAAAGATCTTCGATGATAGCATTCTGCCACATCGATTGGTTTGCTCGAAAGCACGGTCCCTAAACGAATTTTTTATTCACCAAAAAGTCTCTATTCGGTGTTAATGGTGTTGCTATGGTAGCGACTATGGAAGGGGATGCGCAGTGGGTGAAAGTCGTGAAAATCGAAATTTTGATCAACGTAGGCGTGCATGTTTTTTTCTTCATTGAAACGTCAATTTTTTAAACGATGCATCATCAACTGAAAAAATTGTAACGGACAGTGGTGCAGGATTGTTGGGGTCTTAAATGTGTGACAAAGTTAGGTGGTACTTGTGAAGTGTGCTTGCTGGTGAGTACCGATTGGAATCTACACAATAATTAACGGTGAAGCTGGAATTCCTAGTGGCTATAATGTGAAGATGGATTCGTATTCATTCCAAGATCAAGATGGAAGGATGCATAGGTGGCACAGTACTCACGGTCCGCTAGTGTTCGTGAGTTATTTGCCGTCAACGCTGACGGTGCCATCTCTCCTACTTAGAGGCACTAGTCTTTTCCTTGTCGTTGGCTTTTGTTTGTGCACCTTTTCAATCCGGACTGAAATTCTGTTACCGGTAACAATAATTATATATCTTTCTCTTTCTCTTTTTCAGCATTCCATCTTCATCAATGACGACCCTACCGGACTGATGAGATGACGATGATGATAAGATGCTGTAAAATTTATCCTCTCTGACGAAGGAATCACAGCCTTTGGACAACATTGATGACCTATGGACTACATCTTCACACGTGCCATAATGCTACACGTGTTAGTACGGTAAGTTGTTTCTGATTTAGGCGCAATTTAAGACAGAAACTAAAACTTTTCTTTTTTTTTAAGGAATCACCCAGAAGAACGACGTGGAGTCTTTTTTCCCGGACGGATAACGCTGGCTGAAAAAACTCCCAGATTGACGATTGACGCAAATTCCGTTTGAAAACCTTCTGGCCGACCTCATAAGCTGATGCAAACTTCTTGAACTGTAAGTTGTACACTTTTCTATGCTCCTCCAACTTATCTTCTATAGTGGTCCCTCGCTTCGATGGAAAGTTCACCTTCATCCCTCTCCAGACGATGAAGGAATACAACGCCGTGTTGTTCATTTCGTTCACCTAGGGTATCCTAGTGTCCCACACTCGCTGGTTTAATTACATGTAGATGCGTAGGCATGCATTGATTTGCTTCGACTGGACTTGCTACGTATACTAGATGTTAGAAGTTTTTTTTTATTATTATAGTCACTTTAACGCGATCCAAGACTAATTCAATATCTGTAGTATCGAAACATGTCCAAACAGATTCAAAGTGTCTATGTGGCTCATGACAACCTATTTTCGTGTATGCCAAATGTTCTAGGCTTTCCATATCGATATTTCGATACTATAGATATTATCCCAGTCTTTGTTGATCTAGTAAAACAAATCATCTGAACTGCAGTACGATTTGGAGAGCCTAAATCATCTGGTATACGTGGGAATAAATAAGCATTATCCATATAGACACTATGATTCTGTTTGGACATATTTTGATACTACAGACTTTATCCCAGTCGTGACAAACTTGGCACCGTTCGCGTGATTCCGGTGGTAAATGATGTAACGGGACGGAATTGATTTGAATTGAGGAGGGTTAGCCATGATGGTTACCTATTATGTTTGGTGAAATATTTATTGATTTGTTTTCCAAATACTGTACGTAGGAATTTTAAGAAATGCACTATTGTACAGACGCCTTTAATTGAATACAACTTAAATAACCAACAACCAGGGATGTGGAGTCAGAATCGGAAGCATTTTTTGAGCATCAGGTGTCCAAGTTGGAGTCGAAGAATAATAACGCTGGCTGAAAAAACTCCCAGATTGACGATTGACGCAAATTCCGTTTGAAAACCTTCTGGCCGACCTCATAAGCTGATGCAAACTTCTTGAACTGTAAGTTGTACACTTTTCTATGCTCCTCCAACTTATCTTCTATAGTGGTCCCTCGCTTCGATGGAAAGTTCACCTTCATCCCTCTCCAGACGATGAAAGAATACAACGCCGTGTTGTTCATTTCCTTCACCTAGGGTATCCTAGTGTCCCACACTCGCTGGTTTAATTACATGTAGATGCGTAGGTATGCGTTGATTTGCTTGGACTGGACTTACTACGTATACAAGATGTTATAAGTTTTTTTATTATTATTATAGTCACTTCAACGCTCTTGGGTCATTCGTGACTTGTCCGGAGGTGAGATTTGAACTCGTGACTTTGGCGTGAGAGGTATGGATGCTAACCACTACGCCGGGGTCGCCCCATAGATGGAGATCAGATTATTTTTCTACTAGATCACCCAAGACTAATTCAATATCTGTAGTATCGAAACATGTCCAAACAGATTCAAAGTGTCTATGTGGCTCATGACAACCTATTCTCCCCCCATACCACTGTCATGCAAGCGAGCTATGCCGAACATAGCCGGGGGATGAATAAGGTCGATGTGCCCAGTTAAAAATACATTGTCCTCATCGGCCATGTGACGGGCAGCCGAGATAGCGTAGGCTATCGAGCTATTAAGCCATGGCCAGCTAAGCTGCCTTCCAACATCAGGGACCACCGTCACCCAACACCCTACCGCATGTGCTATTATCAGACGTTGTTCATGGCCGAGGTCGCTCAGGCGTTTCCTGCGGTAGGTTGTTGGGTACAACGCCACAAGCAGTTTCCTGATGAAGGTTGGCAGCATCTGACGTTGCGCGCACCGGCCCAGTACCGCATCAAAGTGATGCTGGAGGCATCCCGGCATCCAGTCACGGTTCATCAACGATTGTGCCACGAACTCAGGATAGGGAATTGCTGGCTGCTGGTAGCGCTGCAATAAATAGAAAAGGTAAGTATTAGTTAAGTTAGGATTAGTTTAGGTTAAGTTAGGCTTAGTTTACTCACCGCGATGGGCTGCTCCACTGACTGGCGCACGTTCTGCTGCTCGCTGAGCCGAGCAATCTCGACGATAGCCGTATCCAGATCTCTCCGTAGTTCTGCCATTTGAGACACCCATCACACCGAAACGCAGCTCCATTGTCGCTAATCGTCCCGCCGCGCCACAGCACGACAATGGAGACTGCGTGTTTCGCCTCGACGACGGTCCAGGCTGCGGGCTGGATGTGACTGGCCCAGGCTGCGGGGACCATTCCCTGGCTGTAGAGGGGCCATGCTGCGGGGACCATTCCCTGGCTGTAGAGGGGCCAGGCTGCGGGGACGGTTCTCGCGGCGTGGCCGGCGTGGCGGCCCGTCGACGGCGTAATCTTCGCCGCAGACTGCGGCTCCCACCAGGCTGCGGGGACGGCGCTATCGGCGGTGTGGCCCGTGACTGACTCCGACGTCTCTTTCGCCGACGGTCTGATGGCGGCGGCGGCGATGGCGACCGTGATGGTGGCCCCTGCTCCCACCACATGGAACGTGTCGTTGCCGGCATCTTCACACGATTAGACTGTCAAAAAACAAAGAAAAATGTATGGTTACTTTGATTTGTTCTACAAACACAAACGTACCACATATGGCAACATGGTTGAATCGAACACTGACCTACTTTACTGACATGTAGCTAGTTTTAGCTATATGGCCAGTAAACGAAAGTCATTGTTCGGTTTGACTTCAATAGGTGAGCCGAGCTGAGCACCACAATGGGACAATGGTGGTGTGTTTTGTTAGTATTGTAAGTACACTGAGGACCGGCAGCGTATTGGTGGCATGGTCTACGAGCGAGCGAGTATGTGCGCGAAGCACTCCTCAACGTAATCGTCCAACCTCACCACAACGTTTCACCTCTTAAAATCGTTCCTCGTGCCGTATGATGCACAGCCCAGCTGCCTGGCGAACCGCGCTCCGTCCGTGGGTAGTTGGCGCATATTAGGCCATATGCAAATGCAGCTGGGGTCCCGCCAAGCCATCTGGCACATGCTACAGGTCATTCCATCGGCCTATACTGGTCTCAGGCCGAGGGACACACTCCACTCTGCGGCTCAACTCAGCCAATTGTACCATCCACTCTGCGGCTCAACTCAGTCAGTTGAACCAAAGCATGAATCTGAAAAAAATGCACATTAGGCCGTAGGGAAATACAGCTGGGGTCCCGCCAAGCCATCTCACCCATGCCAGAGCTGATCCCATCGGCCTAAGATGGTCACAGGCCGAGGGACACCGATCCCGAGAGCAGCACCGAGTACCGCGGGTTGGTGGCATGGCATATGAATGCAGTATTGGTCGATGGGAAATGTCAACTGGTACCTAGCAAGTCAACTGGTACCTAGCCACGGTCAATCTCACGGACACCAACCCCGACGACGACAGCAGGTAGGTATATTTTCTTTTTTTCAGGTGCAGCAGGTAGGTATATTTTCTTTTTTTCAGGTGCAGCAGGTAAATATATTTTCTTTTTTTCAGGTGCAGCAGGTAAGTATATTTTCTTTTTATAGGTTTATTTCATTTATTTATTTAGCAACACAATTATTCTCCCCCCATACCACTGTCATGCAAGCGAGCTATGCCGAACATAGCCGGGGGATGAATAAGGTCGATGTGCCCAGTTAAAAATACATTGTCCTCATCGGCCATGTGACGGGCAGCCGAGATAGCGTAGGCTATCGAGCTATTAAGCCATGGCCAGCTAAGCTGCCTTCCAACATCAGGGACCACCGTCACCCAACACCCTACCGCATGTGCTATTATCAGACGTTGTTCATGGCCGAGGTCGCTCAGGCGTTTCCTGCGGTAGGTTGTTGGGTACAACGCCACAAGCAGTTTCCTGATGAAGGTTGGCAGCATCTGACGTTGCGCGCACCGGCCCAGTACCGCATCAAAGTGATGCTGGAGGCATCCCGGCATCCAGTCACGGTTCATCAACGATTGTGCCACGAACTCAGGATAGGGAATTGCTGGCTGCTGGTAGCGCTGCAATAAATAGAAAAGGTAAGTATTAGTTAAGTTAGGATTAGTTTAGGTTAAGTTAGGCTTAGTTTACTCACCGCGATGGGCTGCTCCACTGACTGGCGCACGTTCTGCTGCTCGCTGAGCCGAGCAATCTCGACGATAGCCGTATCCAGATCTCTCCGTAGTTCTGCCATTTGAGACACCATCACACCGAAACGCAGCTCCATTGTCGCTAATCGTCCCGCCGCGCCACAGCACGACAATGGAGACTGCGTGTTTCGCCTCGACGACGGTCCAGGCTGCGGGCTGGATGTGACTGGCCCAGGCTGCGGGGACCATTCCCTGGCTGTAGAGGGGCCATGCTGCGGGGACCATTCCCTGGCTGTAGAGGGGCCAGGCTGCGGGGACGGTTCTCGCGGCGTGGCCGGCGTGGCGGCCCGTCGACGGCGTAATCTTCGCCGCAGACTGCGGCTCCCACCAGGCTGCGGGGACGGCGCTATCGGCGGTGTGGCCCGTGACTGACTCCGACGTCTCTTTCGCCGACGGTCTGATGGCGGCGGCGGCGATGGCGACCGTGATGGTGGCCCCTGCTCCCACCACATGGAACGTGTCGTTGCCGGCATCTTCACACGATTAGACTGTCAAAAAACAAAGAAAAATGTATGGTTACTTTGATTTGTTCTACAAACACAAACGTACCACATATGGCAACATGGTTGAATCGAACACTGACCTACTTTACTGACATGTAGCTAGTTTTAGCTATATGGCCAGTAAACGAAAGTCATTGTTCGGTTTGACTTCAATAGGTGAGCCGAGCTGAGCACCACAATGGGACAATGGTGGTGTGTTTTGTTAGTATTGTAAGTACACTGAGGACCGGCAGCGTATTGGTGGCATGGTCTACGAGCGAGCGAGTATGTGCGCGAAGCACTCCTCAACGTAATCGTCCAACCTCACCACAACGTTTCACCTCTTAAAATCGTTCCTCGTGCCGTATGATGCACAGCCCAGCTGCCTGGCGAACCGCGCTGGGCTGGGCTTTTTTCCCAGTCCGTCCGTGGGTAGT